CCCCAGCTCCCGGTCCCGGGCACGCAAGCGTCCGCCGCGCACCCACGGGGAGACTGAGGCCGGGAGAGGGGAAGGGCTCCCCAAGGTCACCCTGAGCCGCGGCAGCTGACCCAGAATCCAGAAGAGCCCCAAGGCCCGCGGGATCCCTTCGCCTGCCTGCCTGCCTCCCGACCCCCAGACCTCCGGACTCGGACTCGCCCCCACAGGCCATGCAGGTGAGGGGAGATGGATAAGGGGAACCCCGCACCTCCCTCTGACAACTCTACGCATTCCCGACGCCTCCCCGCTCCTCTCTGACCACTCCTGGCAGGTCTCCTGGGAAGCCCCCACTTGCAGGACTGGGGCACTGCGCCCAGCTCTCCCTTTACTGGGCTGTTGCCCACTCCGCTAGCCCTGGTCCTCCCACCTCACCCCCCCCCTTTATACCCAAATGCACACTTCTATCCAAGAACCCTTTCCCGTGCTGAGCTCTTTACTCAACACCTACTAGATCCATGTCCTGTGTCAGACACTGAGGATGTAGCCTGGAATGAAGCTCCTCCACTGTCCTCCTGGGATTTACAGTTCGCTGGACTAGGAATCCAAGGCAGTCCCAGTAACTAGAGCGAGATCCCAAGTGGGCAGGAAGCCTAGCAGGGGCCTTGGGGTGGCTGGGTGAGAGAAGAAGGCATCCTGAAAGGGGAGGATCTTAGTCTAGACAGAAACCTGCAAAGGAGGATGGGGAGTCTTCCAACAGAGCCCACCAGAGCAAAGGCCCAGGCAGATAACCCAGTGAGGGGAGGTACCAGATCAGATTCTGCTCCCATCATTGTCAGCAGTGTTGCAGCTCTTTGGCGCAGATGGGGTCTGGACCAAGAAAGGCACTCCAGGGGGACCTTCACTCCTCAATCCAGGATTGACCCAAGAAGTCCCTTCTGAGCCCCCTGGGTATTTACCTTTCCCCAGAGCTCTCCTTTCTCTCAATGCCGCCCAGATCCTGGGGCTGAGTGAGCCCTTAGCTCCACAGGTCTGCTTCTCCCACCAGCCTCCATCCTGTCTACCAAACCAAACTCCCTGCCATGGAGTCAAGACTGGCTCATAGCAATATGGGTAGAATTGCTCCTGGGGGTTTCGAGACTGTAACTGTTTACAAGAGTAGAAAGCCCCCTCTTTCTTTCAAGGTGCCGCTGGTGGTTTCGAACTGTCGACCTTGCACATTGAAGCCCAACTAGAAACCACCGGGACTCAACCTGTATAAGGTGTACCAAATTCTGCTCCACGGTGAGCAGTAAGGGGAGAGGAATGTGGGTTTCTGAAACTACCTCCTGCAGAGCAGCGGTGGACTTGAACTGCTGACCTTGCAGCTAGCAGCCCTGTGTGCAACCCACTAGGTCATTAGGTCTTCTATATGAATTAATAGTGCAAAATGAAATGCTTCCCTTAGTGCAGACCAAAGAGGGCACTTCTCAGGAAGACAAGGACTCAGCCCTCTGTCCCACACACTGCCATCAGGTGGATTCCGACTCAGAGCGACTCTCTAGAGCAGCAGTTCTCCACCTACCTCATGTGGAGACCTTTCATACTTCATGTGGTGGGACCCCCAACCATAAAATTATTTTCGTTGCTACTTCATCACTGTCATTTTGCTACTATTATCAATCATCACGTGAATATCTGATATGCAGGATGTGTTATTGGTACAAATTGAACATAATTCCATATACTTAAAGCATAGCGATTAATCACAAAACAATACGTAATTATATACAGTGAAATACTTGTGTTTTCCGATGGTCTTAGGCGACCCCTGTGAAAGGAGTCTCGACCCACAGGTTGAGAACCACTGCTCTATCGGGTTTCGGAGGCTGTGGATCTTGTCAGGATCAGACAGCCTCATCTTTCTTCCTCAGCGCAGTGGCGGGCTTGAAGCAGAGTGAGTGCAAATTCAGGTTGTGGCGTTTTGTCCTGTCCCTCTCCATTTCCTAGCTGCCCGTGTCTCAAGTTTCTCTTGCTCAGGTGCTTTAGGTATTTGCTGGTAAGCGATTTAATCTTTGGCTCCCAGGACACCCTCTTGCCAGTTTCCATCCAAGGGCTCTGCCCACTGGGCTTCCTTTCTGCCCCTTCCTCATCCTCTGGCTGTTCTCCCCGTGGTCTCTTCCCTGTCTTGCCACACGCTCACTGAGCAATTCTCAGTGCAGACTTCCTCTGCACTCCGAGCCCAGAGACACGCTGCCTGGTTCGTTCCCGAATGCTTCTCCAGTGGCCCCGTCTCAACCGAGTCACAGACTGGCTTCTTTCCCCCAGACTGCCCCTTCCGTTTGTCTCCGCCTCGTAGCTGGTAGTGGTATCACCTTCCCCCTAGGCACTAAGCCAGAAACCAAGCAGACACCCTAGGCTCTTCCTTGCCTCCACAGCCCGTGGGCACTCAGTCCAGCCAACTCTGCCTCCTGACGTCTCCTCTTCTCCATCCTGCTGCCACTTGCCTAGCTGGAGTCTCGCGTTTCTTGCCAAGGCTGCAGTAACCTATAGTCTTGTTTGTGCTCAATTCCTCCTGTGATCTTTCTCAACCACAAGTGTGACAAATCACTCTCCTCCTGAAGCTACCTCTGTTGTTCCTTCTTGCCCCTGAGATCGAATCCTAACTCTTTAGGGCAGTGCCCAATCACGTAGCCCCATCTCTGCCTGCACACCAACCCCCTCGTTTCCCAAGCCGCATCCTATTTACAAGAGTACAAGTAGCTTAGGTATTAATTACTGTTTGCCGGGCACTGTGCGAAGTGCTTTCTGTACACTGCCTCATCATAAAGGAACCCTGGTGGCATAGTGGTTATGAGTTGGGCTGCTAACCACCAGATCAGCAGTTCAAAACCACCAGTGGCTCCAAAGGAGAAAGATGGGCCTTTCTATTCCCATAAAGAGTTACTGTCTCAGAAACTCACAGGGGCAGTTCCACCCTGTCCTGTAGGGTCACTATGAGTCGGCGTGACTCAATGGCACTGAGTTTTGGTTTAATCTCTTAATAAGAGTCAGAGAGCTTTTAAAATGCAGTCAAATTGTCTAGGTTAATATCCCAATGATGCCATCTTTTAACTTCGTGCAAAGTGGAGTCCCGAGGTGGCACAAACAGTTAAGCATTCAACCACTACCGGATAGGCTGGGGGTTGAACCCACACAGAGGGGCCTTGCGCGGCGGCCTGGCTGGCTGCTTCTGAAGGACGACAAACTCAGTACTACACGGAGCCATGATCAACAGGGCAGTAGCCAACCACCAGCGCCCTCTTGGGAAAGTTCCAGACCCACCTGGAAGGGATTCCTTCCTCTCGAAAGAGGGCCCATAAGAATACCTACACCAGGTCGAGATGGACAGTGTTACTAGAGAGAGTCAGAGTCTGTTACTTGTTCGTTGGCAAGATCAATAACGCTTCTGATCATTCCATGCAGGAAGGATCATTACTCCGCCTATTTTACCGAGAAGGAAAGCAAGTCTCTGAGAAGTAAAGCAACTTACGTAAGATCCCACCGCTAGACACTTGGTACATGCTCATGTATCCCCCTTATCTCCAACCTGCTAGACCAACTCTTCTGCCTGCCTATCTTGGACAACAGTAACTTCTCTTTCATAAAGGCATCCCTGTCTCATCTTTAGGCCTCTGCAGGACGTGGTGTTCACCTCAGATAAACCAGCCGGCACATCACGTTTCAATACTTTATTGACATGTCTGTCTTCTTGAGAACTCTTTGACAAAGGCAATATCTTATTGATCTGTATCCTCCTGGAATTCTGTATTTGTTAAATGAATGAATAAACTATACATTAGGATTTTCAAGAGGGTTTTACCCTAACAGTGATCATTTCAGCACGTATCGCTGATCAGCTCTGTTTCTCTCACTCTGAAGAGTCCTGGGAAGAGGAGAGCATCCGATGATCCAAACTGAATGTAGAGCAGGAAGCAACAAGACTGAGATTTCCCACATTGCTGTTTGGCCATGCCGTGTCCCTTCTCAGACTGCTCTCCTTTTTCAGTGACACTGTAATAGCCCCTAATGAGAAGCTGTGTTGCATCCTAATGAGACTTCCTGACTAAAACATCTGAGGTTTGAATTTATTTCCCATAAGTACCATTTCAGCTAAAAGTTGGCGTTCTCGATTGCAATGAGTGTGCTATTTGTCATTTGCTAAGTGCCCATACCATCCCTTAGCATATCCATCACCTTTGCATTCAAATGCTTCAGGGAGCTAACTTAATAGTTAGCTTTTCTATACAATTTCCTTCTTAAAATGCCCAACTCTTCCTGACATCCTATCTATTGTTCCCCAAATAGAATAGTTTACTGCTCCAAATCTCAGCTTTACAGCAGCAGCAGTTCTCAACCTGTGGGTCGCGACCCCTTTGGGGGTCAAACGACCCTTTCACAGGGGTCACCTAAGACCATCGGAAAACACATATTTCCGATGGTCTTAGGAACCAAGACACCAATCCTCTGTCTCCAGGCGGGTCTGCCCACATGCAGATACACCCACATACAAGTGGAAAGACCATGCTTCAAGACTAAATTTCATTTATTTGTCATTAGAAATAAATATTTCACAATATATAATTACATGTTGTTTTTGTAATTAATCATTATGCTTTAATTATGTTCAGTTTTTAACAAAGAAAATACATCCTGCATAACAGATCGTTACATGATAATTCATAACAGTAGCAAAATGACAGTGATGAAGTAGCAATGGAAATAATCTTATTGTGGGGGTCCCCACCACATGAGGAACTGTATGAAAGGGTCACAGCAGCAGGAAGGTTGAGAACCACTGATCTACAGTGATTGAAGACACATTTCTGCTCTTTCTCAGGATGATCAGATTCCACATGGCCCAAACAACACAACAAACCCAGATGCTTTCCTTATTATGGAGGGCTGTTTTAAAAAGCAGGTTGGATGTTAGAAGTATTTATTTTGCATACCAAGCCACAGGTAAATTGGCCTTCATATCAAATTTAATGAGATGCAGGACAAGGTTAAAGCAAGAATCACTCATGTAAGGAGCAGGGAAAAAATGGGCTCTAGCACTGGTTCTACGGATGGTGGCCAGTGGTTCCGAGTTGGGCCGCGATCCCAAAGGTCAGTAGTTCGAAACCACCAGCTGTTCTGTGAGAGAAAGACAGGGATTGCTACTCCGGTGAAGAGTTACAGTCTTGGAAACTCACAGGGGCAGGTCTGCCCTGTCCAGTGG